GAATTAGTGGTTGGAGGCCACACCCAACCAAAACCCTCACAAGACCTTGAGAAACAGGGCTTGATAGTCTCTCCAGGCAAGACATCCCCGTACTGAGGGAACGTTTCAGAGAACTTAAGGCAGCTCCAGGAGGGAAGGGAGCAGGGGTTAAGGCGGCCCTCACAGCACGGCCTGAGAAGAAATGACGCTGCCCTCATCCATGAACGGAGGCCACAGCAACACAGCCTCCCTAACACGCATGCATACAGCACACCTCCTAGCTGCAAAGTAGACACGGGCAGCATGCACACACGGTAATGTCTCCACACGCCCTGACTTGTGCATGGCCTTGTGGGGATAGCGCTCAGAAGCACCCAGGGGCTTGGCCTGCAGCTGCAGGTTCCCCAGGGGCTGCGCAGCTCACTGGTGGCTCCGACAGCTCACCTGCTGACTCTAACAGAGGGTGTGTGTGGAGAGTGACCTTCCTCATTGCTTTGGGAGGCGTTCACTGCTCTCCATCAGGCTGAGACAGCCTGCTACTAATTAGTGACTTAACACAGTGTTGCACCCTCCAGGGGAGCACTGAGTAATTACAGAGCCAAGCCTAGTGGCAGCAGGCAACTGTGACAGAAAGAAAACTACTGGCCCTAGGTGCTCTGTCTCGTCAGCACAAAGAACTCAGCATTGCTCAGTGCTCAGCTCCCATATGCCAGCTGCCAACTCTGATAAGAAGAAAGAGCACCTCTTGCTGACTCGGGGCCCCCACAGGTACCGAGGAACAGATGTAACCTCAGGACTTGCCGGTGCTGTGGGGCGAGCAGCTGGGCTGCAGGGCAAGTCTGACTGACCTCTCTCATGCCACCATCAGCAGATGACTGTAGCCACAGTTCTCCCTTCCAGTGCTGCTGTGAGGACACAGTGAGGTAACGAGAAAGCACGCTAGAGGAAAGCAGAGCCAGATGCAAGGTCTGTTCTTCAGAATTTAAAGGTCAATCACTAATTTTTGCTGTTTTATCCTAAGTAGTTGAAGTTACCCAGAGGATACTTGATTTTGCCTCCTGGGGAACTCTATGAACTGGTGACTGTGTGTGTGTGTGTGTGTGTGTGTGTGTGAGAGAGAGAGAGAGAGAGAGAGAGAGAGAAACACTTCTCAGATGGTGGCAATTGCCTCTTTACCTAGTGTTACCAGGAAAGTAATTTCTCAACAATCACTGTACTGAGATTCTAATAAATTATTTTCATAGTTCCCCGACTGTTATGAAAAGATTTGCTCTGTATTATACATACTTACCCAGAAAGAGCCAACTCTCAACTATCCACTGAAATAAAGCAAATTGTACCAACTGATCCCAACCCCCAAATCTCCTTTAAGTTGGCTTTGGAATATATAGGTATGTACTTTATCCTGACAAAAGAAGTGTCAGGTACATGGGGATTTTTCAAAACTTCCAAAGGAATCATGAAGCCACATTTGTGAATCTTAAACCATATTCATCTTCCCCATCTTTGTAGTTACTCTCAGGTGGATCAAAGCCTTAACCTAAGAAAAGCTACAAGAAGAGAAACTGCTTCTAATTTTTCAACTACGAATTCCAAGGTGCGAGCTGAATCTAGATGTGAGTGAGTAGGGAGTATTGAGAAGGGCTTAAGACAATGAAATGCTATTCTTTCAAGATTTTTCTTTGAATTCCTAATGTGTGTCATAGAGGAATGATGAGAAAGTAAATTAGTGATAATGTTAAAAATGTACTACAGAGAAGGAGAACAGGTTTTACAGATTTGCTTCAAGGTAAGCCACCAGGTGGGCCAGGGGGCAGCTGAGGACCGACTCCATCCACTGCTGCCTTCATCGCAGTCAGAGTGGAGATGGGATTCACGGGTTGCTTGACAGAAGGGGAAGAGCGAAGAGATAAATGGGCAGGTGGAAGCGGCCGGAAGTGTGTGCAGCTGCATGAGAAAGTGTGGGTGGAGAGAAGGGCGGGTGAGCAGTCCTCAGGCCAGTGTTGCATCCTCAAGTAGCAGTTGTTACCAGGCCATGGGGTCCCTGCTTCAGGTACTCTTGTTATGACTAATGGTCTTTAGGCTAAGAGAAGTTAATTCCCACCTCACCTGGGTCCTTGGAGCCCTGGAACAGCGGAAGTTGTGTGGCCGTCCCTAAACAGGCCCTCCGGTCCAGCAGGGGACAGGCTGCAGCACTGTCCAGCAGAAGGACAGCAGTCCGGGGAGAGACCAAGGCCACGATGAGAGACGCTTCAGGATGCGAGCTGTCTGGAAGCAGGAAAAGGGGCTGCAGGCAGTGGGACCCACGGCACATCTTGAAGACCTGACAAGACTGAGGGTCGCATGGACATGCCCATGGACATGCTGCAGAGGACTGAGCTGGGGAGGTCGGGGCTTCGCTGGACAGCCTACCCATGGTGGCATTTTGTTGTTAGCATCTCCCCACTCAAGTCCCATCTATGCTCTTAGACTATGACACATTCAGTACTAACCACCTGGTCATGAGTACACTGTTCACTGAAAACCACAGTGACAAACCAGGCAAAACTGAGAGAATCTGATTGAATTAGTAATGTTTTGGGTTGGTTTTGCAAATAAATGTATCCAATTGAATACAGCAGTATGTGATTCAATAAAAATCACCTAGACCAATTAACTTTCTAAAAGCATGGACACAGATCATGCACATTGAAGAAAGGTTATAACTAAACAGATTTATGATATTTTTATTAATCCCTCAGACTTAACAGGCACTGAACACTCGTCTCTACATCAGAGGATAAACTTACTGAGGAACTACAGCTCATTTCTCTAGGATCTTAGCGCCGAGAGGAGAGATGCTAGACATGGAAGGGACCTTAAGAGTCAGTTGTCCAATCCTCTTATTTATAAAAGAGGAATTTGAGGCCTAAATAAGTTAACAGACAGTATTTATCTTTTAATAACAATCTTTATCACTGGTTCTAAACTGTGTGACTTCCATTAATAATATTGCACATATTTTAATAAGATGCATTTTTATAAACCATCTGGGAGTTAAATTATATAAATCTATGATTGCAATGAAGAACCAGAGTTTCTGATGAAAGCTAAGGATTTGTATTTGCACAACCTGAAAGATTTATATATAAGATTTCTAAGGAAAAAATGCAGAATATGTTTAATTAAAATTTTGTGGTGAAAACATAGAATCTGGGTCTTAAGAAGCCCAATCCCCTGTAAAATTCAGCAATCTTCTAATATTTCTTAGATAAGTCAAAGTATTTCTAACATGATGTTCTTTAAAGTATCTAGAGTTACTGAGAACATTTATAGAAATTGCAAAGGCTAAAAAAAGGAATCATAAGTATTCATTATACACCTTCTTTTGCATAATTTATAGGATAATCAAGGTTTCAAGACCAGAATCATGAATATTCTGACAATGCTCTCTAGATAGTGACTGAGATTAATTCTTAATAAATTAAGAAGAACGGAAACCTGTCAAAGTTGACTGTATGCATTGCAGAAATCAGATCTGGGAACTAAAAATAAGTCACTTCACAGAACACTGTACCCTGTTGTGGTATCCACTAGGGAAAAATAATGAGCACACCACTGTAATGTGTCCTGAATAAATAATGACACCAACAACTGCCGTCTGTCTAATCCTACCCCTGAATGTCCAACATTTTGTCGTATTACTACAGGACTTTCCAGTGTCTGCTACTAGTGCAGGTGAATCTGTAGATGTCTGCAAAGAATCCAGTTAAAACTGATCTGATTGTACTATAAACAGAGTTGATAAAAGAGAAGCTTATTCTCATAGTACCTAACAAGAATACCGCTTACATGTTAAAGAACCCAGTATATAGCAGCAGTTTAAGATGCTCAGGAAACTACAGTGCAAATGGACTTCTATGCTATACAGTAAACCAGCATTTTCTTAATATCTCTACATCATAATGACACATGAAGGACGTTACTTGTCCAGCTATTATACCTACTACAGTTGATTTCTGTGATCCAGTTCAACATCACCATGATTCCTAAACTGATATATTATATGGTATGTTCTCAATAGTGATTTTTCTTCTGGTTACATAGAGGAGGTTCTCTGTGGGTACCTTCCTAACAACCACTCAGATCTGGAATTTATGGTTTTTTTATACCATTTAGATGTACGTAGTGCTAAGGATTTAAAATAAATGCTGGCAACTCAAGATACATTTTCCCCTTCCTTCCATCATTCACCTGCATGTGAACTCGGGGTACCTAATGAGCAAGGGTGCGCGGTGCTACAGGTAACAGCACGAAGGAGCGTGACTTTCTTTCCGAGGCGATGGAAGTGTTCTAGGGAGATTTCCAGTTAATAACCTCTTGTTTGGAAGATAATGACGACATCTTCTTTAAAAATGTGTTTCAGTAGCTCACTGGAAGTAATGGGTTCTTATTTCAGGCAAGAAATGTACTGTCCTTTTGCCTCGGTGTGGCTTTCAGACCCGGGAGATGAAGCCCAGGCCTAGGCTGGCTGGGATCTGGATGGTCTCCAAGGCGAGGGAGGACGGGTTGAAAGGAAAGGTGACGGGAAAGATGTGTTTAGCATCCATGAGCAGCTGAGGAGAGTCCTTCCTGTCTCGTAAACGCATCTAAGAAGATTAAAAAACAAAAAAAGCAGAGCATCAATTCTTTGAATCTGTAAAGAAAATTTTCTCCTGCTAAAAAGCCTACCCAAACTTCCCCAACAAATGAAGAATATTTATATTTGTTTTAAATTCACTTCATTTTCCCAATAAGCTGTTATAAAAAAAATGCATTGTAAAAATAAGATAAAAATAATACAAAAATTATCTTTCAACAAATTGTAAAATTTCCATTAAAAAAACTGTGTTGGGAGATCTTACCTGTATAGTACGAATAAATGACACAGAGACTCTTTCTTCAAACTCATTAACTGGCGTATACAAATTCAGCACTTTGACAATCTGTGAGAAATAAAATGATCAAAGTTTTCAGCAGATAGTCAAGTGCACTAGGGCTCATAATAAAGAAGACCGAAAAGATCTCAGCGCAGTTCCCCTTCCTCCCAGGGCTGGTGGGGCAGGAGGGGAGATGAGGTGGTCTGAGGGCACATCAATTTTTATTATTTTAATTTTTATAATAAAAGCGTATCAATCTTTGTACATTTTAAAAAGCAATGTAAATTTGGAAAAACATTCAAACTGCACAAAAAGAACAAAACATGAAAAGCAAAAGTGCCCCCACTCCCATCCTCCCAGTTTCCCAAAGTGGCAATTTTTGACAGGATCCTTACTATCCATCTAGCGCTTTCTGTACATACTCTATGTGTAACCTATGTGAGCTTTCTATGTTATGAGATATGTGATGAACACCAAGAAAGTCCAAGAGTAAGCACAGAAATAACTGGGAAATGAGAAGTGGGCATGTGCATGCCTACGCCTCCCCTCATGCGGCTGCCGGTCCTCACGGTCCTCCCTTCTCTGCTCCCTCCTTAAACTCAAGGCCTTGTCTGACGGGCCCTCCCCTGAACAGTCAGCTATCGCCCTCAGCACTCCTTCGGACATCTCACCACTGAGCTCGCTAGAATCTCTTCCAGCAGAATCAGTTGGGTACATCTGAATTCCCTACTAAACTTGTAGTTCCTTTTCAGCAGGGATTGTTCCTTATATATTGAAGTGTTTCCCCCAGCAACAAGTGTGGTCCCTTGAGATAGGAACTCAATTCGGAAACAAGAATTATCTGTCTCATAATAGAGAAGTCAAAAGACCTATAAGACAATATGGAAAATTGTTTTTTTTGGAACACAAGCGCCATAGCAGGCCTAGGATGCTAACCCCTCAGAGTAGGGCCGCTTTCGTTCCTGGTTGTGTCTCAGTGCACTGAAATGTGTGACTTCCTGGTAAAATCCTTCTTCAAGAGCTGTCAGATAAATGTCTGACGCAGAGGAAGTCAGCTCAGATAAGATCAATCGTGAGAGGACTCTATCACCCTTTATGAATGTGAAATGATGTGAGAGGAGGGAAGCTGCGTTACCTGGGCAGTAGTTAAAGCATTGCACATGGAGCAGATGGCTTCTGCATCATCATCTGTTTTCTTTTTCACTTGCAGAAGCTGAGCAGCCTGAATGAGAGGTTCCAGGGTTTCTTTAGCCCCACTGTTCATCAGATTCTTGTCACGTAGCCATTCCTCCAGTTGACTGACATTGTACCTGTGCCGAGAGAGAGAGAGAGAGAGAGAGAGAGAGAGAGAGAGAGAGAGAGAGAGAAAGGGGAGAATGCAAATTTACTAAATGTTGTCATAAATGCCCTAATTTTCTGTGTATGGCTTTGTCAGGAATTTCAGTTAAAATGACAGGCAGTATTGTTTGCTTTTCTTAAATCTTATCAGCTATATTTAAAAATTATCATTATAAAAAGTCATGAGGTTTATAATCACAATTATATAAGAGTAAATGACTAGAGAATATAATTATCTTTAATGCAAGATAGAAAAGTAGCCATTATAGCAAAAGTAAGACTGGCTAAAAGATAAGATAGAACACATTGTGTGGCTGTGCCCCTCTTAAACAGCTGACCAGAAACACTTTGCAATTCCTCCTACAACTTCAGAGGTGAGAAGTGATAATCCTTTAAGTCCTCTCTCTTAAGTCCATCTGAATAATAACCGCGCCCCCGCCCCCCACACACACACACTCTGTGCTCCAGCCTTCTTCAGGGAAGAGCCTGGATGATGGAGGCAGTGACCCGAGGAAGCTCAGGGAGGGAAGGAGAGAAAGGCAAGTGGGGGCCACCAGGAGAGAAGAAGACCCCCAAACTACATGGGTGCTCAGGTATCAAGAGATGGCCAACCAAGTAACAGTGGTTCTCAAACTAAAATGAGGTGGATGGACACACAATCAGACTGAATAATCACTCGTACAAGAGAAATTATTAGGTGCTGCAAATGTAAAAACAAAGCTTATAGAGAAAGAGGTTCTGCTACCGGGGAGTGAGGCATTAGCTTCTCAATGTTAACTACAATGGATGTGGGTCCGAATGGGAAATTTGAAAAGAATGCCAACGTTTCCTGAGACTGAGTAACTAAAGACTTTCGTAGGAGAATTCTTGCCTCCCCTGGGTGAATTTTCTAGCTGTTTTAAAATAAATTACTTGTAAAATAAGTCAATTCTGTTATGATAATGGGGTTATGCTGAGGAGTAGCTGACATCAAACCGAGTGTAGCTCTTCCTAAAACACCAAGAGGCACATTTCAAGTATTAGTGAAAGATTCATCAAACATGCTCTTGTGGCCCATGGTACAGAAAAGTATTTTGTTAAAATAAATTTCCAAGAGCAACCAAGCATTATAAATCTTCATTATTATGTGATATTTTGTTATTGTACAATTAAAACACACACAAAAGCCCTAGCCAGTTTTGCTCAGCAGAGAGTTGGATTGTGGACTGAAGGGTCCTGGATTTGATTCTGGTCAAGGGTGCATGCCGGGGTTTTGGCTTGGTCCCCAGTAGGGGGGGTGCAAAAGGCAGGCAATCAATGATTCTCACTCATCATTGATGTTTCTATATCTATCTCCCTCTCCCTTTGTCTCTGAAATCAATAAAAATATATTTAAAAAATAAAATACACATGAAAGAAGAGGAAGCAACTATCCCCTCTTTATGTGTTTTTCATCATCTTTCCACTCCCTCTGAAGACTGAGCTTAGCAGTGAGGGGAACCGCTGGAGGCACAGGGGAGCAATGATGACCGAGGAGAGGGCCAGCCGGGCCGCAGGACGTGGCTCCGTGCCCACGCTCCCTTTGCTGCTTGGCTGTGGCCCAGAGAGCCATCAGGTGCACTGACCTCAAGCCAGCCATCAGCTCCCCGCACGCTGGCAGGCAGAGGTGGGGCAGCGAGAAGAGGCCATCGCTGCTGGCGTTTCTCACCTGATCTGCATGCCTTTGCTCCAGGAGCACATGTCCTTCCGCAGGAGGAGGTTGTTCAGCGTGATGGCCCCCACGATGTAGAACATCTGCTTGGCCACCTGCTTGATCAGCTCGGGGTCCATGCCGTGCTGACACATGACCGAGTGGAAGGAGCTGAGCTGCCGGAGGATGGAGTCCAGTGTGTAGGTGCCCTCATCGGCGATGCTGGAGGTCCGCTTCCTCAGCCCTGTGGGCTTCACCCCCGACACGCCCTGAATGGTCTCATGCTCCAGCATGCCTGAGACTGCACGAAAAGTTCACGTTAAAAGAGGATCTGGAAGGACACCGTTTCATGTGCACACACACTCACACATTCAGTTTAGGAAAATGATCTGAGCATCAAAACAGAGGGAAAAAGAACTCTCCCCAAAAAGCTTCTGGATTTTCATCTTTAATAAAGGAATAATTCTTAAATGCAAAAACTTGTTATGAAATTAAGACAGCTTAATGGTGTATTTTCTAAACTAAGAAGCAGCAGCCTGCACTAGCACCAGGGTGTGGTACGTTGGGAGGGTTCTGAGAGAGGTATGCAGCAGTTAGGAGAAGATGAGCATTCTCCAGCGCTGTGTGAGCCTCAGAGGCAAACAAATCAAGTAGCAAGGGCAGGAGCCTGCCCAGCCAGTGTGACTCAGTGGTTGAATGTCGACCTATGAACCAGGAGGTCATGGTTTGATTCCCAGTTAGAGCACATGCCTGGGTTGCAGGCTTGATCCCCAGTATAGGGTATGTAGTAGGCAACTGATTATTAATTCTCTCTCATAATTGATGTTTCTATCTCTCTCTCTCCCTTCCTCTCTGAAATCAATAAAATTTTTTTTTAAAAAAAGAAGAAAGGCAGGAGCCTGGGCAGAGGTCTTGGAGAAGACTTGGGAGGGGCAGTTGTGCAGGGCTGAAAAGCTGGGCCCTTCCTTGCCCTGAGCTCATCCTCCCAGGACTCAGCCTTCTCCTCTGGGGCACTGCTGCTCATCTCCTGTGCTCTCATAACATGTAGCCTAAGTGTCCTCTAGGACAGTTTTGGGATGCCTTCTCCTGGGCTGGGAGCCCCTTGAGAGCAAGGGCCAAGCCTGACTCACTTTTATTTCTCCTAGTGCTAACCTCAGGCTCCAAGAAGCTCATACAGTCAACACTGTTGCTGTTGAATCACTGGGGGTTGGGTGGTTTAAGGGAGACACCTTAGAGCAGTGGTTCTCAACCCTAGCTGCACATTAGAATCACCTGGGAATCTTTTTAAAATCCTGATTTCTGGGCCTCATCCTCTGGAAATTCTGTTTCTTTGTTATGGGGTGGGGCCACAACATTAGTAACAAAGAAACGGAATTTCCGGAGGATGAGGCCCAGAAATCAGGATTTTAAAAAGATTCCCAGGTGATTCTAATGTGCAGCCAAGGTTGAGACCACTGCCTTAGAGGTAAACTTCTTGTTTAGCCAATAAAAATGGGCACAAATAGGAAAAGAGTTTGGCTGAAGCTGGCCTTCCTTGCATCTGCACCTCTTGCATTTTAGCTGCTTTAAAGTCATGACTTCAGGGGACGACTGAAGAAATCACCCGACTCACATGGTTTCCTCAGCCTGTTATGTTTCTAGTTGGCTGTGGGCTTATGATAGAAAATGGAACACTCTGAGCCCACAGAAGGGAAAGAAATTGTGGAAATGAGGAAAACACATGGGTGGGGAGGAAAGAGCAGCTGGGAGCAGTCTTCAGAGGCTACTGATAATCTGCCTGAGGATGAGAGTTTGGTAAGTTAAAAACAAGTGTGTGTGTGTGTGTGTTTAATTCAATGCATTTAAAGTTAGTAGCCTAGAATCTGTACATGCCCCCTAATTCCGACTTCAAACATGCTACACATTCCACAGTGCAGCATGAGACATAAATAAACATGCAGAATGAGTGCACACATTTGAAAGGAGGTACACAGAATCACATTCGCTGAAAACACATATATAGAAACAGAAACACACAAGTACACACCTACACGCACACCCAGTGGGGCTCACTGAAATAGAAACTACTGCATTAAACCAAATTGCCTTTAACAATTCCAGAAGGACCATGAGATGTACAACTTAGCCTGGGCTGTCTGAGCCCTGTTCTGTTGCCATGGTACCCTCCCACTTCTTTTACTGTAGCCTATTAGTCAGTCAAAGTGCAATCCCTTCCCAGCCTTCCTAGTTTTAGGTGTAGCGTAGTAGTTTCCTAGGGCAAGGTTTGAAGTGTTTTTTAAAACTGGACAAGGAATAAGGTCTACTGCTGGGTACACAGCATTACCCAGTCTTAGAGAGAGGTACTGCACATTGGGGAGGGAAACTAGATACTGCTGCCTTGGTCGTGTGGAAGCAGTGATTCTGATGTATCCCAGTTAGTCATGGCTAACATCCCATGTTCTGGGATTCCTCAGCTAATTTTAGGAGCATTTTATGTTCTCCACTTGAATACATGCTGAGACATGTGCCACTGGTGGTTGTCTACTGGTGGGCATGTGAGGTGGACAGACTTGATGTCCGCGACGCCCTGGCCTTACCGATCATGGGCTGAAGGATGTTCTCCAGCACCCGCACGAGCTGCTGGTAGATCTGAATGGCCAGGTCACTTAGCACCTGCCGGTACTCAGCCAGGTCGAAGTTGGTGAGGCAGTGTTCGTTCTGGCGAGATGTGTTGTGCTTCATAAAGCCCTAGAGCCACAACGCAGAGTTAATGACGCACAGGAAGTGAGATGTCTGCTGTCTGTCAGACTCGCTTGATCAGCACCTTCCCATTCTTTTTCTCTCTTCACAGAGTTTCCATCCATCCCACACATAAATGCCAGGATAATCATTTTCAGTATGTGTGTTTGTTTCCATCTTTAAAATTCCACTTCTTACTAGCTTTTGAATAATACCTAAGCTTGGCAACTAGCATTTCCTTTCCAATAGCTATTTTATGTCAATAAAATAGGGTGGGAGAACTTAATCTAAAAAAGAATTGCCCTAGCCGGTGTGGCTCAGTGAGTTGAACATGGTCCCATATACCAAAACGTCACGGTTCAATCCCTGGTCTGGGTTGGGGTACGTACGGAAGGCAACTGATCGATGTTTCTCACTCCCCCCCCCCACTTCTTTCATCTCTCTCTAAAATCAATAAAAACATATCTGCTGATGAGAATTGTAAAAAAATTAATGTTTCACTTATGAAACATGAAGTTTATTGCCAAACACTAAACTACCTAAAGTACTAACATGTTTAAACTTCAGTTCATTATAGTCCTATTTATAAATACTGTACCCAAAGGGCATACATAAGCTTAAAACAGATCAACTTCTACAGAGACTGGTAGATACATAAAAAGTTTTCCTTTCATGGTATCCACAGATGATTTTCATCTTTTGGTGGTATTTTGTTAAAAGGGAAAGACAACGGTACAAGAAAGTACTTCTGTCAGCTACTGCCTGCCGAAGGGCAATATCTGACAGAAGCCTACTTGATGGGTTCTGCCCATAGTCCTTAACAATAGGGTCCAGAAGTGGGAATGACAGGGCAGCGAATGGCCCCTCTGGGGAACTCTGGTCTGTCAGTCCCACCTTCCCAGGGACCACATCTTTTTTTTTTTTTAAATATATTTTTATTGTGTTTTTTTTTTTTTTTTACAGAGAGGAAGGGAGAGAGATAGAAAGTTAGAAACATCGATGAGAGAGAAACATCGATCAGCTGCCTCCTGCACATCCCCCACGGCCGGAATCGAACCTGGGACCCCTCAGTCCGCAAGCCGACGCTCTATCCACTGAGCCAAACCGGTTTCGGCCCAGGGACCACATCTTGCTCACATTTGCCTTAATTTGCCAGGACCATCCTCTGCCCTGAGTCTCTGTGTGGGTGCTCAGCAAGTGCTACAGCTCAGTTTCTCTTCTACCCTCCTGGCAAAGGATGGGCAGTGCAGGGGAGTGGTTAGGTGCAGGGGAGTGGTTAGGGGCAGGGGAGTGGTTAGGTGCAGGGGAGTAGTTAGGGGCACAGGCTCTGGAGGCAGGCAGACCCAGAATCCTAGCCCTGCTCCTCATGGCTGAGAGGACTTGAGCAAACGGATGACCTTCACTGAGCTTCAGTTTCCTCATCTGTAAAGCTGGGTCATAAACCCTACCACACAGAAATGTTGTAAGAATTAAGTGACATGGTGTCTAGTAACTGCTGTCTGATGCATAGTAAGCAGCCCTTAATAAACAGTAATTATTAACATATTACATTAAAAAAAAGAGTCTGTCAAACAATTGATGACATCATTACAAACAAAAGCCAAACAGATTTTTGGACAAATTTAAAAAGACACGTCTTAACTTAACACCTTTAAAGCATTATAGTAAGCTAAAACTGTTTAAATTTTTAAAGAGTCCTTGACTAGTCCACTTCCACATATTGACAAAAAGTTTCATTGTTCCAACTATTCATTGACCAATGCTCACTTTATTTCTATTGTGTTTTCTTATAATACAAACTCTCAGAGGAAAGAAACTTTGTTGTTCCCCACAGTCACTGTTCTATAAATAATAAGCATCAATCAAAACTATGAACGTCCAAGCCACCTCTGAATTCAGGTTTCTAAATTAACCAATGGTTAAACATTTTCCTTAAAAAGATCAGAGAAGGCACAGCATGTTGGTTTTATAATCATGTTTTTCTCACCTCTTCTCCGCTGTACTGCTTCAAACAGTGCAAAAACCGGCAAGTGTTAGAGAGCCAGAAGGAAACGGTTTCAAAATCATCACCTCTTTTCTGAAAGAGAATAAGCCTAAATTTGCTTTTTTTCTTGGGGAAATAACAATCTGAAAAATAACTGAACACATAACAGAAGGCCCATTCTTTCAGTTACCATTATAAACAATTATAAATCAAAAAGGAGAACCAGAAAGACTGAAACACTGAAACCCAGATCAGGTCAAACATCATGTCAGTGATATGATACAATTAAGAAAAAAAAGATTTTAAATTGTTTTCTTAGAAAGAGGAAAGGAGAAGGAGAGAAACATTAATGTGAGAGCAAAACATCGATCAGCTGCTTCCTGCACACCCACTACTAGGGATCGAGCCTACAACCCAGGCATGTGCCTGATGGGAATTGAACCAGTGACCTTTTGGTGCACAGGACAATGCCCAGCCAATTGAGCCACACCAGCCAGGGTGATAAGATACAATTTTTGAGCAGTGAATCAGAAATGGGATGAAGGAAGTCCAGTGCAGAGCAGTACACAAGGGAAGCTACTTGTCTCTTCATCAGGACTGGGACACATGTCCAAAAAACTCATTGCTAAATCAAAACAGAGCCCAGGCTGGTGTGCTCAGTGGTTAGAGTGGCAGCCTGTGCACCAAAGGGTCTCAAATTCTATTCCCGGTCAAGGGCATGTACCTGGGTTGCAGTTTCTATCCCCAGCCCCAAATGATGTGTCTCTCTCACATCGATGTTTCTCTTTCTCTCCCACTCCCTCCCTCCCTGTCCACTCTCTCTAAAAATAAACAAACAAATAAATGAAAAGCTATCCTCTGGTGAGGATACAAGACAAATATACTTCATTTCAAAAAGGGATGTGTGACAAATGCACATCAATTTTAAACAGTATCAAAGGGGTGTTAGGTTCTAGTACCCTCCCTTTGGTAATCTTGAAACAATCTGGTACAATAACTGGTCAAATTAGATAAATGCCTTCTGGCAATTAAGATGAAAGGGAGAAAACCTTAGATTTGGTTTTGTTGTCTTTGTAAAAGTTGGCTTAAGAATTGGCAAAACTTGTAGTCTATCTAAGTGCAACAGAGCATCAATACACCAAAAATGAAATGAATTATATTCAGAAGATGCTCATCAATTTTTAAATAGTAAATCTTCAGAAATTCCACACTTCAGTAACTACTGTAGAATATAACTACACAGAACATCTTAGCAATAGGGACTGAGAACTAGCATCTGTCAAAAGATCATGACCAGGCTCTGGGGGGAGGGGTGTGTTTCCTGAGTGCAGTGTTTCAGATGGGGAAGATGACAGGCTCTGGAGATGGTGGTGATGGCTGCACAACAAGATGAATGCACTTAATGCACAGAGCTGGTCACTGAAAAATGGCCAAGCCCTGGCCAGGTGGCTCAGCTGGTTGGAGTATTATCCCATCACCAAAAGGCCGAGGATTTGATTCCTGGTCAGGGCACATACACAGGTTTTGGGTTGGATCCCCGGTCGGGGCGCATATGGGAGGCAACCAATTGAGGTCTCTTTCTCACATCACTGTTTCTTGCTCTCTCTCTGTGAAAATAATAAAAGCAAACAAATAAACAACAAAACTCCACATATCCTTGGGTAAGGATAAAAGAAAAAGGTTAAATGCTATAATTTTTTGTTATGTATATTTTACCACAATAAAAAAAGTATTTCATGAACGACATCTTAGATTTGAGCGCCCACTGGGCATGTTAACTATCCACTTATCTCCATCCTAAAAATTCTCCTTAAGTCAGATAATCAGAAAGCAAAGTATTTAGAACACATTCTCTTAGCTCCTCACAGAAGCACCAGAGTTAAAACTAAGAATAACGTTCATTGTTTTTCTAGAGTCAGGAGGAGGATTATGCAACGTGACTCAGTGATTACTGAGTCATTACGTAGGACTTCCTGCTCTAGTACATAATTTTTCTGTCTTTTTCAAGCCTTTCCTTTCTGATTAGTATCTGTGTGTTGCTTCTCACATGGAATCAGGGACAGGTGACAAGGAAAATTACGGGGGATTTGGAGAAAAATAGGAAGAAAAGTTCAAAGAAAAACTTTATTTCATCAAATATATTTTTATATGAGCCATGTATTATTGACCTTATTTAATACCTATTTTAACTATAGCATCATATTCCCTGTATATAATGGACTCCATTAAATATTTTAAATTTACTTCTAAGACCTTAAAGCAGACTATTTCTGTCCGTGAAGAAACAATTTTCTCCACAATGAAATGCAATTAAATCAAATTAGTTTTGATTATTGTTTATCCTGAGCCCTGTTTTGAAGAAGCATATAGACAATCTGTAAGAAAAAACCTTTCCTACTGTGGTACATTTCCACAGTGGAAGGTAGCAGTGAAAACTGCAAAGTGTTCACACCCTCCTCAAGGCTGAGGGAGAAAAAGTCCCTACATGCAGCTTCTGTTATTAATACTCATTATGAGAATTTTGTTAAACATGACTGACCTTTAATACTTTTTTGATGCTGTTAATTGTGGATGTTAGCAGCGACCTTACTTTCTGGTCATCATTCAGGTAGTCGGCATGTCGGACACACATGAACAGGATATACGCTGGTAACCCTGGGATCAGGTTGACAGCTACGCCACGTGGCTTCAGTTCTGAGAAGAGAAGAGAGAAAAAACAATCTTACCTAACACCGACAGTCTTCATGAGACGTGCTTTGAGAGACAATGAAAGCCCAGTTCTCCTGTGAGAGTCCAATCATTCAGGGTAAATAGGTCACATAAAAAGCATATTTTAACAGCTCAGTAAGAGAAGTTCTTGAGGGTGGGAACATGGTGAATTTTAGTTGTCTTTGCCAAGACAACTCCCAAATCTCTATCTTCTGCCCTGACTTTTCCCTTGAATTCTAGTTTCTTGGATCAAATGCCTTCTTGGCATCTCAGCTCAGACATGTCAGGCTGAGCCCATTCAAACCAAACTCCATTCCTATGGTACCTGCTCTCCCAGGAGTTGTCCCGCTCTCGGTAAATGGCAGCTCCAGCCTTCTAGGTTCTCAGGTTATAAACCTGTCATCACCTTTGATGTCTTTCTTTTTCTCACACCACACACCTAATCCATCAATAAATTCTGTTGGCTTTACCTACAAAACACATCCAGAATCCAGCTACCAGCTGCCCTGGTCTAGGTCCCCACCATCTCCTCTTGGATTGTGGTCTCTGATCCATCCCTCACTCCCCAGTGGTACATTTTCATCCAACAACCAGAGTAATTCTATAGGAAAATGTCAGTCAGATCATGTCATTCTTGTTATGAAAATCTTCCAAGTAGCTTCTCACCTCATTCATTTAAAAACCAAATACTCAGCATGGTCTGTGTGATCAGGTCTGATCCGCTGCCCCAGATCACTGTGCTGCAGTAAAATGGGTCTCCTTGTGATTGGCTGAATGTGCCAGGCATGCCCCCACCCCAGGGCCTATGTGCCAACTATTTTCTGCCTGGAATGTTCTTCCTCAGATATCATTAGCATGAACTGCTTCCTTACTTCCTCAGTCTCTGTCCAAAGATCACCTGGTCAAAGAGGCCTTTCCTAACAATCCTAATTTATAAAAAGCCAGGGGCCATCACTACCAAAACAACTGGACGGACTACCAAACAGCAGGCTGTGTGGGGCGACCAGGCTGGCAGGGGGGGCAGTGAGGGACGACCAAATGACCAAACAGCAGGCTGTGTGGGGCAACCAGGCCAGCAGGGAGCCAGTTAGGGGCAACCATGCGGGGC